TATGTTTGAATGGTTCCATGTGCAATGAGAATAATCTGTCAACCAACTAACTAGCTTTTAAAAGAGCACTGATATTGCCCTTGCAATATTTATTTTGGAAAAAGGGGGGGGGGGGGGGGGGGGGGCATATCCTGAAAAAGGTTAAAAACCATTGGTCTTGCATCATATACTAATGGCGTAACAAGAACATTGTTACTTTTACTTACACAGCACTTGTCTTAAAAATAAAATAACAATAGTATAGAAATAACAGGCATAGTAAAGACCTGAACACATTCAGTTTCTTTCGTTATCTCTCTCTCAATAAAAGTGCACCATTTATCACAAATGACATGTCTAATTATTTAGCAAACAAACAAAAAAATACAGCTTTGGAAGTAGAAAAATGTGGCATCGTGTAAGAACATGATTTATACAAACCTGAACACATAAACATTTGTGGAAGATTTACTTGTAGTAATACTAACAACACAGAGATTTGACAACCTATTGCATACAAATATTATACTGCCGGCTGCAAAGGAAATACAAATAAAATCAGCGCTCAAGCAAGTAATCATTACCCAAAAATTTTGTTTTCAAAAGTAATTTCTGAGAAAATGTAATTCAAAGTTATAATTTTCTGGACTTTCATTCCCACCAAAAAAAAAAAGGAAAAAAAATGTTAATAAAAGGAGGGATTATTAAATGGATCTTAATAGATTGCATTATGGGAAAGTAAATGAACTGTGACAGGGGATGATATAGTTGCTAAAACTTTGCTTGAACATTTTCTTCTGACTGTCCAATCACCCCAGGTTGTGTAAGTCTCAAAACTATAAGTTGTATCTACAAATATGAGTTGGGTCATACTTATAAAATTGTTATACTTTAGCTATAAATAAGGGTGTAGTTATCCTTATAAAAGTGTAGATTTTAATTACAAATATGGTTACCACACATAACAGATTTTAGTTACAAATTTGGGTTTTACTACACATAGCAGATTTTAGTTACAAATGTGGTTACCACACATAACAGATTTTAGTTATAAATGTGGTTACCACACATAAAAGATTTTAGTTACAAATGTGGTTACCACACATAACAGATTTTAGTTATAAATGTGGGTCTTGCCACACATAGCAGATTTTAGTTACAAATGTGGTTACCACACATAGCAGGTTTTAGTTACAAATGTGGGTCTTACCACACATAGCAGATTTCAGTTATAAATGTGGGTCTTACCACACATAGAAGATTTTAGTTACAAATGTGGTTACCACACATAGCAGATTTTAGAAACAAATCTGGGTCTTACCACACATAACAGATTTTAGTTATAAATGTGGGTCTTACCACACATAACAGATTTTAGTTATAAATGTGGGTCTTACCACACATAACAGATTTTAGTTACAGATGTGGTTACCACACATAGCAGATTTTAGTTATAAATGTGGGTCTTACCACACATAACAGATTTTAGTTACAAATGTGGTTACCACACATAGCAGATTTTAGAAACAAACGTGGGTCTTACCACACACAGATTTTAGTTATATATGCGTATCTGGATTTACACAAAACTAGATTTTAGTTAGAAATATGGGTCTTGTCACTCTCATAAAATCGTATACCTTAGTTACAAATGTAGGTCTAACTACACATATACTATAAATTTGATTTTAAAATATGGATATCAGCTCATAAAATGTCCACTTTAATTAACAAGCTAGGTTGAATCAATCTTGCAAAACTACAGACTTTCTTTTAACCGTGTGGGTCAGGTCATGTGTCAAACGAAACCGAGAACAGCTTCTTTTAATACATTTGCATTAAAAAAATATAAGCTAAAACAGGAAAAGAAAGTTGTGGAAGATTTAAGTATGATTAGCAACTAATAGTAACATTAAACACAGGCAAGCCAAATTTTTTTGTACAAGCTCTGACCAAAAGAAAAAAGGTAAAAAAAAATGTATTATGCGAAGAGTCAATCACATATCACACATTGCTTGGCACTGAACAGATTCAGGAAACATCGCTAAAAAAAAACTTCCGGCCAAAATGGAGGAAAGGCTTGGCAAAATGTTAAGCTTCAAAGTTATTTTTGCTTCTGACAGCACTTTGCTAATGCAGTTTCCACATAAGGACAGTAGTCTATGGTTTCGCTGCCTGAGCTACTGCGTTTAGTGCTTGGTTGGAGCTCTGTGAGCTGCGTTTTTCAATTGATTTGCACTGGCACAGGAATAGAGCAAGTATGGGGAAACCCGATTGCGGTGATGTTGAACTTCGACTAACTGCTAAAAATGATCAACCCCTATTAATGCAAAACAGTTTCCAAGGACAAGAAACTATACACTGAAGAGGAACGACAGCACACTTTTTCTTCTTCTTTCTCTTCCCTACTCCTGGAATGCCTTACGACAGGAAGAGATCTCTAGAACGGACCCTTCTGTTCACTTTATATATAGTACTTTTCAGTGTCTCTGATATTTCTGAGGTCTATATTTTGTGTGGTCGACTTCTGGGTCTGTTACCGTTGTATCTGTAAAACATTGCTCTCTGTGGTGCCCTGTCTGCTGCCAGTCTTGTTACATGGCCAAACCATTTGATTTGTTGTCTACTTATAAAGTTCAGTATTGGTTCTGAGCCGATTCTCCTTCTGATATCATTGTTCCTAAGTCGATCTTTTCTCGTTACACCTGGTTAAGTACGTAAACATTTCATTTGTCATGATCATTTTCCTTCTGTCTTCTGAAGACAGTGTCCATGTTTGACAGCACATTGCTAAGAATACATTCCTGGATACTGTTAGTTAGTTAGTCAAGATTTCAACATCACCACAGACGGGTGATCCCATAAGTGCTCCCTTCCTGTGCCAGTGGAAATCACACAAAATGTCCGTCACTGTCCCCAGCTGCAAACTAGCAAAAATCTTGTCAGTCTCAGCAAAATCTTACAGCTTGCACAAGTAAAGTAAAAATGCATAAGGCAGCTGTAAGATGTGCTAACTTTATCGGTCCCATGCCAGAATTCCAGCTCACTGTTGTTGCACATAGCTAGTCATAAAAGCCGGTATTTCCCCCACAAAAGTGATTTTTTTATTCTTGTTTTGTGTTACATTAACACAGAAATCAAAATAACTACAAGAGACACCCATTTGATGGATTTTGAACTATTTCATTTTTTAAATATTGAACAAGAATCTTCTTCTGTCCAACTGCTGGAGCTGTGAAGCATCGCAGAGAGGAGTTAGTTGTAGTTTCCTGTCCTTTGCCAGTTGCACAGCTTGTGTTAATGTCATATTGTGTTTTGCGAGTCTCTCATTTACTCCATCCACCCATCTCTTTCTTTGTCGGCCTCTTGACAAGCAGACTACTGCTCTCATGTAGTACGTGGCTGATTCTGTTTCATTGTGACCCAATGACTAAACCATTTGACTCTCTGATGTTCTAGGAAATCATTTACTGAGTTCTTTGTGTCTGATATCAGGCGTACTTATTTAGAAATGTAACCGGCCCTCTAGCGTAGTTGGCTAAACTGGATTGCGCGGTGAACGGGTGACGAACTCCTTGTGGTCCGGGTTCACTCCCGGGGGTAGGCAGAAAAGCCACATTTTCTCCCAGATTTACAGTATTTATCATGGAATCAAGGCCGAAAGGTTGCGATATCCATAATACCGAGCCTTAGGGTTAACAACTTTTGGCTACTGGATACTAAAACAAACATTTAGAAATGTGGTTTAAAAGCCGAAAATGTTGTATATTTGCCGAGTTACTAAGTGTTTGTTTGAAAAGAATTTGGCCGCCTAGCATAATTGTACATGCATGTTAACATGATTTACGGCTTTAGAAGCCTCAAATTTAAATAAAGTTCGTGTTTATTAGATTTATTCAAAGTTAGATAGATAACATTAAGAAGTAGACATGTTTCAGTCATTTATAGAGTCAAACTTTGATGAGGGATATGTCTAATGTGTACCTCACACAAAGGGTACAATGACAGTAAAGTCAGCTGGCACAAATAGAAAAAAACATTAGTAAAAATAGGATTTTATTCTGTGTCAGTTAATTCTAGTGCTATCCCCCTTATTATTTAGGAACATAGCTACAAAACTGCAGGCAAATTGAGTGTTACATAAACTTCTATTTGTGTGAAGATACTAATTATTTTGGGAAGTCAGTTTACCAAATAATGGTGCTCTGTTATGATGCTTTAAAAGATTCTCTGGAACAAAATCTAATGTATAGACTGAGTTTATAGTTTACTCATACATTACTAAGTGGTTCATATTAATTTGTGATTCATTTTGGATATATTTTAACGAATTTTCTTAGAGTGCTATGGTGGTAAGGGGAATTGTTTTTCCATTTTACTAATTTCTGTAAACATACTGTCTGTTTATTCACAAACATTTAATTACTAACACAATTATTTGTTGTAGCAACAATCCCTGGTTACTTTGATGTATGTGTATGTTGCGTAGCAACTGAATTAGTATGGTCCATTTTAATGTGTTACAACTTGTGAAATTACAAAATTGCATTACCACCCCTTGAGCCTCTGATGCTAAACCCCCTGGGACTCAAAGAATTAAATGGGTACCAGGTAATGTCCTGGGAAGTAAAGGCAGCAGATCTGATGTTGACCACATCACTCATCGAGGGCTGACTGGTGTAAACAAACAATTGAGTCTAGTCCCATATGCTCCCCAAAGGTACAAAAACGATCTTTTAATGCCTTGCCAGATTTTTACCACACTAACATCCAAACCTTCTAAGCTGATTTCAGATATTCGTCATTTTCAAATATTTAGCATGTACTATTTTGCAGGGATGAAAAAATATACAGGGTGTTAATCATCTTTGTACCACACATATTCAAAAACGTGAAAAATCAATCTGAAATGCTGAATGTTTTAAAAGACAAGAAACTGTGTTTAGTTCATCTTTGCATATAAAAATGCATCAGCAGAAAAGCGTGGAACAAAAATGAAATCAGACATGCAGCAAAATAAATCACCACCACTTAAACACGTGAAGGCTGTACACAACAAATGAAAGAACACTAACTGCAAGGCAGAGAAGGTCATGGAAGATCACAAGGTCAAACAAAAGTTGGCAAGCCTCAAAAGTCACACACCTTCATGCTTCTCGACACTCACCGCTGGTCTCACATACAACAACTTGTTTGGCCTCAAGTGTCAACAACCGCTGGTCTCACATACAACAACTTGTTTGGCCTCAAGTGTCAACAACCGCTGGTCTCACATACAACAACTTGTTTGGCCTCAAGTGTCAACAACCGCTGGTCTCACATACAACAACTTGTTTGGCCTCAAGTGTCAACAACCGCTGGTCTCACATACAACAACTTGTTTGGCCTCAAGTGTCAACAACCGCTGGTCTCACATACAACAACTTGTTTGGCCTCAAGTGTCAACAACCGCTGGTCTCACATGCAACAACTTGTTTGGCCTCAAGTGTCAACAACCACTGGTCTCACATACAACAACTTGTTTGGCCTCAAGTGTCAACAACCACTGGTCTCACATACAACAACTTGTTTGGCCTCAAGTGTCAACAACCGCTGGTCTCACATGCAACAACTTGTTTGGCCTCAAGTGTCAACAACCGCTGGTCTCACATACAACAACTTGTTTGGCCTCAAGTGTCAACAACCGCTGGTCTCACATACAACAACTTGTTTGGCCTCAAGTGTCAACAACCGCTGGTCTCACATACAACAACTTGTTTGGCCTCAAGTGTCAACAACCGCTGGTCTCACATACAACAACTTGTTTGGCCTCAAGTGTCAACAACCGCTGGTCTCACATACAACAACTTGTTTGGCCTCAAGTGTCAACAACCGCTGGTCTCACATACAACAACTTGTTTGGCCTCAAGTGTCAACAACCACTGGTCTCACATACAACAACTTGTTTGGCCTCAAGTGTCAACAACCGCTGGTCTCACATACAACAACTTGTTAGGCCTCAAGTGTCAACAACCGCTGGTCTCACATACAACAACTTGTTTGGCCTCAAGTGTCAACAACCGCTGGTCTCACATGCAACAACTTGTTTGGCCTCAAGTGTCAACAACCGCTGGTCTCACATACAACAACTTGTTTGGCCTCAAGTGTCAACAACCGCTGGTCTCACATGCAACAACTTGTTTGGCCTCAAGTGTCAACAACCACTGGTCTCACATACAACAACTTGTTTGGCCTCAAGTGTCAACAACCACTGGTCTCACATACAACAACTTGTTTGGCCTCAAGTGTCAACAACCGCTGGTCTCACATGCAAACAACTTGTTTGGCCTCAAGTGTCAACAACCGCTGGTCTCACATACAACAACTTGTTTGGCCTCAAGTGTCAACAACCGCTGGTCTCACATACAACAACTTGTTTGGCCTCAAGTGTCAACAACCGCTGGTCTCACATACAACAACTTGTTTGGCCTCAAGTGTCAACAACCGCTGGTCTCACATACAACAACTTGTTTGGCCTCAAGTGTCAACAACCGCTGGTCTCACATACAACAACTTGTTTGGCCTCAAGTGTCAACAACCGCTGGTCTCACATACAACAACTTGTTTGGCCTCAAGTGTCAATAACCGCTGGTCTCACATGCAACAACTTGTTTGGCCTCAAGTGCCAACAAATAGACAATTATTCTTATTAATTGCATTAACAAGCTCATCAGATGGAAAAATAATACACAGGTAAAAATGTGATCAGCTAAAATCTTAACTCTTTGAGTCCCAAGGAACGCATGATACGTTCAAGGATTCCTACCTAGAGGCCCAATGAACGCATGATGCGCCGATTTTATGTCTCTCTTAACTACCCCTTGGGCCTGGGATGCTAAACCCCCTGGGACTCAAAGAGTTAAACTTGCGATTCTGTAAGATATAATACAGAACACTACATCACCATAACACATGGGCAAACATTTGATGATAAACTCCTTTCTCTTCCCGTTCTGCCTTTCTGCATCAGGTTTTGAAGATGCACTGGTATGTGCTACACAGATGCTAGTATTTCTGGCCTTGTTTATTCCATCTATCCATCGCTTGCATGGTCGAACTCAAGCTCTGCTTCCAATATGTCTAAGTGACAGGGTTATTTACACAATTTCACTGTGTTTATTTTGTCTGTTGTTACACAGTAAATAAACTTTTCTAGGAAATGACAGATGCTCATCAATATTTTCTTTTTTACATTTCACTTCTTCATTTCCTCTTTTACTACTTCAGGTGTCGATCTCTTCTAGCTGCCTTGACCACAGACTGTTGTAGATATTCTCTGATGTTATCTTTCCATATACTTCTTGGTCTACCTCGTGCACTGCATCCCCACACTCCACTTACTGTATTTTCCTAGGTATGAGACGCTACCATATATAAGATGCACAAATAATATACTACCACTGTATAAGATGCACACTTTTTTTCAGACCCTTTATTTTGGGAAATTAAGTGCATCTTGTACATGGGGAAATACAGTATGTAGTAAATCAGCAATTATGTCCACCAAAAAGGGGCCGATTTCGACCGAAAACTGCCAGAATCAGTACTTTGTCTTCTTCCATGTCTGTATTTATCACTTCTCAGCGGCGCTGTGCAAAACGGGAGGGTCTTCATCTACAGGTTCTGCAGGATGGGAGGGTCTTCATCTACAGGTTCTGCAGGATGGGAGGGTCTTCATCTACAGGTTCTGCAGGATGGGAGGGTCTTCATCTACAGGTTCTGCAGGATGGAAGGGTCTTCATTCACAGGGTTTGCAGGATGGGAGGGTCATCTGCCACAGGGTCTGCAGAATGGGAGGGTCTTCAGCCACAGGATGAGAGGGTCTTCAGTAACAGAGTTTAAGAACCACATGGTTAGTGCATCCCCCAAGAAGTGAGCTGGGTAGGATTTTTTTTGTATGTATGTAAACCAATCAACAAGTAATGTATCTGCTTTTTTTTTTAACACGTTATGTTTAGTCAGGGACTCTTAAAAATACTGAAATTATACTGACTTCTTATATGGGACGTATATTTGACCATTCTCGAAGCAGAGCACTTTGTATTGGCTATTTTCATCACTACCTTCTTCGGATTTCAGCCGTAACTTTAAGGGAGTGAAAGCAACTGTTACACAGGTCACATTTAAACAGTCTTAAAATAGCTGATGCACCAGATGTGTCTATCTCACTGTATTCTGTTAATTAGATTTTCCGTTTATTTGTCAACACATTTAGCTCGAGGTGCCGTGTGTTATTTTGAAAACAGCGCACTGAGAATCTTTAATGTCGATACCAACAGTAGCAGGCAATGCAGGTGAGAAATAACGTAGTGAAAACCTGGGCTCTTGAACAAATGCACAAACTAACTGGTAAACAAAGAACTGCATCCATTGGTTCAGGCTAAAATGAATGATAATCCAATGTGGCAATGAGTGCTACCATCCATGCCATCCTCCCTTTCCTTGATCTGGTGGACACTAAAAAAAAAAAAAGAAACAAAAATGCAAAACATCTCAGATTATACAAAATGAAACTGAGGAAGAAGCAAATATTCATCCCCTATTTCAGTATGAGTGTCGCTCCCTGTGGTGAAAGCGTTTCCTAATGCCGGGGTGCCGAGTTCGATACCAGCTGCAGGCCCTGCGTTGGTTTTGACAGTGGTATCGAGAAGCCGTCCATCCAAAAAGCAATGGCAAACTACTAGACGTAAATTTGCCTAGAAAAAAAAATGCTGGTTGGTTTTGCAACGTCCTGTAAAGGATACGCAACCAACTTAACTTATTTCAGTCTTAAATAACTGCTCAGGCACTTTCATCAGTCCGGTAAGATTGCGTGTCAATGGGTCCCCAGCTGCTGTTGACTGTCTGATCAGCTCCTTCCACCTCTGTTGGTGCATGTATGTATGCATATTTAGCTGTGTAAGTATGTGGGTGTATATGTGTGTATTTAAGTATGTATGTATGTGTGTAAAGATGTGAGTATGTATAAATGTGTGTATGTATGTATGAATGTATGTATGCATGTATGTGGGTGTATGTATTCATGTAAGGGTAAATGAGTGGTTGTGAGCATATGTTGGTGTCTGTACATGTGATTGTATATGTGTGTATGCATGGATGCATGTATAGGTGTGTATGTATGGAATGTGTGTGTGTGTGCATGTATATCCATAAATGTATGTGTGTGTGTTTTCTGTTTGTGCATTTATGTCTATGTATGTGTGCGTGTTTTATGTTTGTATATGTATGTAGAAGTGTGTTTATGTATCACGCATGTCTGTACATGAGTTCGCATGTATGAGAACGTAGGAGTATGTATACGTGTGTGTGAGTGTAACATGCATTACTGATAACAGGTATTGGTACTCTGAAAAATGAATGCTTAGAAAAGCCGAATGTCAGACAGGCCTGCATGCCCAATTTGTAACCCTATGAAAATAAAGTCTGTTCGTTCATTTGTCCTGTCAGTCAGATGTCAAAGACTTGATGTTTGCATGTCCTGGTCCCATCTATCAGACAGCAATGCTGTCTGGTGACTGGTGACAGGCAGTCTTTTAACTCAGGCAAAGCCCAGTCTATATTCTCATGGAGAAAGTTACCTGTCTGCGCCACAGGGCAGTGGGCTTGGCTTGTGTGATTATGGGAGAGGCACAGACTACCAGATTTTGATGCCCCCTTTTCCAAGGAGAGCTAACTGCACCAAACAAAAGCTAAGCTGATGTAACATTTTCCTGTAACCCTCAGTGAGGGAGCTCAGGAGGCCATGGCATGTCACCAATATATATATATATATTTTTTTTTTTTAAGGGCCCAGGGAATGTATTTAATTAAATTCTTCATGTTTTTGAATTAAAAAAAAAAAAAACCCAAAAAACGAAATAAATAAAAGTTAGTTGAGTATCCTTTACAGGACATTCCAGAACCAACCCCAGCATTTTTAGGCTGTGGTGGTTTTTTTCTAGGCAAATATGTATGTTCAGTAGTTTGCCATTGCTTTCTGAATGGTCAGCTGTCAGTACCACTGTCAAAACCAACACAAGACAAACAGTCCGCAGCTAGGATCGAACCAGGCACCCCAGCATTACGAAGCACGTTCGAAACGCCTAAGCCACTGAAGCCGATTTTCAACTTCCTTATCCTACATATATATAAATCTTTGAATATTTTGAAAAAAATTAAAAAATGTATATAAATACATTTAAAAAAAAAAAACATTAGTGATCTGTGTAATATGGTTGCTTGTTGTAAGGACTCCACACCCCCCCCCCCCCCCCCCCAATGCCCACTGGTTCACGAACCATTTTTGTTTAGCAATCGTGGGATGAAAGGGTTAATGAAGACATTAAGAAAATTTCAGTCAAGACCATTTTCCCCATCAGTGGCTACTGGGCAATAATGTTAGACTCATATATTTGTAGACCAATCAGCACTTAATTAATGAGTGATGCAGTGAACATCTGGCCAGCCACCTTGACTTTCATCTGGTACACATTTTAGGCTGGCTGGCCCCGGGAGCCAAAGTCGGAATGCGTGGTCTTGAGGCAAGATGTCCGCCTCAAGTGCTAGATGTTCTGGGTTCAATCCCCGGTAAGGGCTGGAATTTTTTCACGTGGACTTGGACTTTTAGTAATTCCCCTGGTCTTTGGGTAGTGAGATCGGATGCCCATGAGCATTGCTGCGCCCGTAAAAAAAAAATCCCTTGGCAGTTGGAAATCGAAAAGAGTAGCGCTGCCCTGGCAAAATTTAGAGTTAAAAATCTACCCAAAGTATTTCAGGATCCTCGTCCGTGCTACAGAGCCTGTGCAATCTGTTGAGCTTCTTCAGACTCCAACTTGAGTTAAAAGAAGAACGGAGCACTTATGGGTTACTACCTATGTACCATGATGTTGGTTCATTGTTCAAAACCTCAAAAAGTCAAAGTCATTTTTTAAAATCTGACTCGACATGGATTCAAACTCAACACATTCAGTCTAACAGGTAAGGGTCTAACTGCTATGCCATTGCAGCTCCCTTATAAAGGCACTGCACACAATACTCTATTTTGTCTATGTATACATTATTTTTATAAATTTCTTAGTTTCAATCTGAGGATCGTCTTAAATGTAAAATGTGTTTAAAATATATATTTCTTAATTTTAAGGCAATTACTAATAAACTAAAGACATTCATTAATTGGTGTCTGTGCAGAATAGAGGAAACTAAATGGTATGATAGACTCACTAATGTCGAGCTTTGGAAGAAAACTAAGCAGGCTCCAGTAGACCAAGAGGTGAGGAAAAGACGCTGGCGTTGGATAGGACACACAATGAGAAAACCGGAGAACAATATAACTAGAATGTCTTTGCACTGGAACCCACAGGGAAAGGACAAAAAACACATGCAGAACGGAGCTGAGAATAAAGTTAGCAAAAGATAGAACAACTTTGCATGAGTTGGCTGAGGGCCTATGCTCCATTGGGAGCTAGAAAGGCAGAAAAAGAAGAATTTTTGGGCTAAAATAAATAGGGCTCATCTTTTGTACACACAAGACAAATAAGTAAAGCTCATGTAAACAACAACCACACGTGTGACCAACGTACCTTGTTTGCTAAACCTGGCTGCGACAAATCATCAGAGGAGACGGCTCTACCTGGCAACTCTTCCGTCTTCTCCTCCTCTCTACGCTTTAGACAAGCAGCCTTAGGGTTTAAGTTCCTCTCTGGAAATAAAGGACACCTTTAGCCAATGATTTTTAAGACACTTAGTAACAGATGAGGGTAGAAGTGAAACAAAAATCTAAAAGAGAGTAGGAATGGCTAAAACTGTCTTTAGTCAGATACACAAATTGCTGACAGCTTGAGAGATCAACAACACACTAAAAATGAGAATTGTCAAATGTTATGTATACATGTAGTCAATCCTGCTATCTGATGCAGAAACCCGGACAATGAACAAAGCAACAAGAAAATCAAACAGAAAAAAATCTGGAAATGCGGGTATACGGAAAAATAGGTCATATTTCATGGAAACAAAAACAGTCCAATGAAATATTTCTGGAAAGGCTACAAATAAAAAGAGAATCACTGAAAGTAATAAAAACAAAGAGACAATTGAAAATTGAAATACTTTGGCCACATTAAAAGACATTACATGCTTTTAAAAACAATACTGGGAAAAAAGATCAAAGGCAAGACAGTTAGCGGTAGGCAATGATACAAGTGGGAGGACAATATCAAGAGATGGATGGGCAGCAGTCTGAGAGAGAGTGTACAGCCAGGAGAAGTGACAGAGAGTGTTGGGGATCCACTGCCGCCAACCTTCACTGTGGAGATGGCACCTGACTGATTGACTGATTTGTGACAATGTGCAACTGTAATATGACTGACTGAGTCCAGCAGTTTACACCGAATGCTAAATACACATCCTCAGTCATGCGAAGGAGAAAACTGAAGTACGTTGTGACGGTGGGAAAGTTAGAGGGGGAAAGAGGCAGAGGGAGACCGATGAGAAGATGCTGGACACTATGACATGGAAGGCAATCTGTGTAAGACATGACCGAAAGAACGTGAGACAGAAGGCTGTGGACAGACATGACTACCAACCTCATACTGCGTGGACTATAGACAGAAGACACCTACAATCCACAGAGAATGCAGGACATACAGAGAATGCAGGACATACAGAGAATGCAGGACATACAGAGAATGCTGGACATACAGAGAATGCTAGACATACAGAGAATGCAGGACATACAGAGAATGCAGGACATACAGAGAATGCTAGACATACAGAGAATGCTGGACATACAGAGAATGCTAGACATACAGAGAATGCAGGACATACAGAGAATGCTGGACATACAGAGAATGCTGGACATACAGAGAATGCTGGACATACAGAGAATGCTAGACATACAGAGAATGCTGGACATACAGAGAATGCTAGACATACAGAGAATGCTGGACATACAGAGAATGCTAGACATACAGAGAATGCAGGACATACAGAGAATGCTAGACATACAGAGAATGCTGGACATACAGAGAATGCTAGACATATAGAGAATGCTGGACATACAAAGAATGCTAGACATACAGAGAATGCAGGACATACAGAGAATGCAGGACATACAGAGAATGCTAGACATACAGAGAATGCTAGACATACAGAGAATGCTAGACATACAGAGAATGCAGGACATACAGAGAATGCTGGACATACAGAGAATGCTAGACATACAGAGAATGCTGGACATACAGAGAATGCTAGACATACAGTGAATGCTAGACATACAGAGAATGCTAGACATACAGAGAATGCAGGACATACAGAGAATGCTAGACATACAGAGAATGCTAGACATACAGAGAATGCTAGACATACAGAGAATGCTGGACATACAGAGAATGCTAGACATACAGAGAATGCTAGACATACAGAGAATGCTGGACATACAGAGAATGCTAGACATACAGAGAATGCTGGACATACAGAGAATGCAGGACATACAGAGAATGCTAGACATACAGAGAATGCTAGACATACAGAGAATGCTAGACATATAGAGAATGCTAGACATACAGAGAATGCTAGACATACAGAGAATGCTGGACATACAGAGAATGCTGGACATACAGAGAATGCAGGACATACAGAGAATGCTAGACATACAGAGAATGCTGGACATACAGAGAATGCTAGACATACAGAGACAGCTACAGAAAATGACACCCTCCAATCATCAGAGAATGCAACATAAACTGATGTCTTACAATCTTAAATTAAAGTGATGTCCTACAATGCAGAAAGATTTGCTAAATAAAGGAATGTAGTTTGACTGACTGACTGAAATTTTTTTTAACCCTACCAGGACATCTCACAAGTGATAAACACCCGGGGACACAAAGTGCCACCATGCAGATGAGGATCACACGTAGAAAGGTCCCAGAAACCCCTTTCAGCCAATAGGCCATATTTATGGCTAAGCCACATCTATGCCCCGGCTATATTCAGGGCCCCAGAAAAAGCCAGGGTGGGGCTTCAAATAACGAAAAATTGCATCCTATGCTGAGATGACTAATTGATTTACAGAATGTAGTTTGAAAAGTAATGCCTCCAAGGACATAACTTTGTTAATAAACATAATGTACACTCAAAACATCCATTTTCCGAATGACTAAGATATCCTTTAAGTAAGGTGTCATTATTTTGTATATGTAGTCACCACCACATTTCACACATACACGCCTGCGTAAAACAGGATGTTGCATCCTATTGATAAAAAAAAAATCAGATGATTTTTCACAAAATCAGGAGCACACTTCGGTTGCCACATCCTCCTTATCATATTTGTTTCCCTTGAGATGTTCCTAGAGCTTTGGAAACAGGAAAAAAGTCACAAGGTTTCAAGATGCCAAATCGGAACTATGTGCTGGATGTGCCAAAATGTCATCAAAATTAAGATGCTCCAATGCTGCTGTCTGTCTGTCTACTCATGTGTGAGTGAGCAGTGCATCGTTGAAGAATATCTGCCAGGACGAACATGCAGCAATCTTGCTCGTAGTTCCTGCAACATTTCCACATCGCGATCAGAGCTGACAGTATTGTTGTTCTTCAAAAACTCTGCCTGGATTACACCCTGGCACTTTTATATTCTCAGAATAGGCCTCACATTAGGCAGTGTCTTATACACCGAAGGTACACCTACATGTACTGTCATTTTTCATAGTCTACCACACTGGTTTTTCCCTTTCAAGATCTTGGCATGCTCTGCTTTCAAGCAATAACAATGCAACATATAAATGGGACAGAGGGGAGAATAAAGTATCACTTGGGAAATGCATGGACAAAGAAACCCTTAATTATTTGTAGGAAGTAGTATTCCAACCAACAAGACACTTCCGATGACAGCAATGGGAGTGAATTTAAAGGTAGTAGTATTTCAACGAACAAGACAATTTGGATGACAGCAATGGGAATGAATTTGAGGGTAGTAGTATTTCTAGTATTTCAACGAACAAGACACTTCCGATGACAGCAATGGGAGTGAATTTAAAGACCTCTGTTAGTCAAAAAATAATTTTCAACATGTATGGTGCAGAAACCTGGACTAAAAACAAACATCTCCTCATCATCATAAAGCGCCATGGCGACTGGCTTGGGCGATCATGCCTCTCCACAATCTGTGATTGGCAACTGCATGTATCAGTTCATGTGTTAAAACCCCTCCATGCCATGACAAAAGGCCGTCAAGAATCTTTTCCCGCCGTCTTCACCTGTCTTTCTTTTCACAAATCTTTCCAGTGATCACAACATGTTCAAGTTTCCCTCTTCTCATAACATGACCAAAAAATGATGACTATCTCTTTCTAAAGTTTGTGATAAGTTGTCTACGAGCATTCGCCTCTTTCAAAACATCTGGGTTTCTCTTCTTAGCTGTCCAAGCAATTCTAAGGATTCTTCTGTAAAATCAAATCTCTGAGGCCTCAAGATATTGTTCGGCTTGTTTATTAATTGTCCAGGATTTACAGCAGCATGTTAAAACAGGCTGAACAAGCATCTAGAAAATGGAATATCCCAGTGTGGATTATGGGGCCTCATTGTGAGGAAAACAAGAATAGACCCGCTGTCTAGCCAAAAGGCATGTTGTAAAAGTTGACTAATGGCTGCTTACTTTGAAGTCGGAGTGCACATGCCTGAGAGGGAAGGAACCAACAGTCTGCATAACTGACATCTGTTGTCCCTATGTGGGATGCAATCTTTAGTTATTTTGAAGCAGCACCCTGGCTTTTGCTGGGACCCCCAAATATAGCCAGGCCTAAAATATGGCCTAACGTCTGAACAGGATTTCTGGGACCTCTCCACGGGTGATCCTCATCCGCATGGTGGCACTTTGTGTCACCGGGTGTTTATCGCTCTGTGTGATGTCCTGGTGGGGCACAACTTACCTACCTATATAAAAGTCTGCACACAAATAAGCAAAATGTGTGAAATGGATGTGCACGCAACAGTTGGGTTGTGGAAGAAGACTAAAGTGTGGAGGCAGACAAACATGCAGAACTTTCCACTGGAGTTTACAGCCTGTGAACGTGAAGAAGTAAACAAGGCAGGCCTGGATAGGGATCAGGAGCATAGGTAACACAAGGTCTAAATAAAATTGCTGCAGGGAAGGCTAACCCAGAAAACAAATACCTAAAGTTATTGGATGTGCCAGCGAAAGGGTGCAAATATCGCAGCTATGCTGTAAATATGCATAATACACTGATGTCATTAGAATGAACGATGGTGAAGAATTAACCCTTTGGAGACAGAGCCTTTTTCAGTATTAGGAGGGAATTCTCTTAGTTTACATACCCAAAATATTTATATATACATAAAATCATTTAACTAACATAGACAAAACTATATATATATATATATATATATATATATACGCACGCACGCACACACACACACACACACAAAATATATTCGTGTAGTAAATTCAATAAGCTAACAGAATTACGGTTGCTATGATGCCACAGTCCTTTTCGTCATTGTTGCGCACAGGTTACCCTTCCCAAAAAAAAAAAAAAAATTTGCTTTTAACTGATGTAACATTACAGGACGCATCAAACTTTCTGAAAGCCTAATCAAACAGCCCACATATGCAAGAAATGCTAGAAGCTGCTATGAAAACCAGCCAGCCATCTCAAGGCTTGTATTATATATGGCTGACCGACTGGCCCAGTCGTCTTTTTGGCTATTCTGTGTTGGGCCGATAGATCGGCCGTGTCGTCTCCGACTGGCCCAGTCGTCTTTTTGGCTATTTTGAGTTGGGCCGATAGATCGGCCGTGTCGTCTCCAAAGGGTTAACAATAATAATTATAATACTTATTAGGCTTTTTGCTGTGGCTTTTATTAACGCAAGCGGATCTTTTTAACCACACTTGTCATCACCAAGAAGTGATTCCTATGTCTTCCTACAGCATGCTCGTACTGGAATGATACAAGTTGCTAACAACAAGATGGCAGCATAAAAGTTAGCTTAGAAAGCAGCTGTAACCCTTACCTCGAACTTGACTCTCTAAAGATGTAATCACATTGACTGCTTGCTGGAGAACCATCAGCTTGGTCAGAGGCTGGCTGGAGTTACAATGCAAGGTCACCATCTGACCCAGTTCTTTAAATGCTTCATTGATGTCTCGAACTCTGACCCTGCCAATGAGGATATGGAAAAAAAATTATAACAACTCCTTAACTAACACATCTAGCCTCTGCTAATCTACTCTACAACTAAATTCAAATAGTCAGGCAAAACAAACAACCAATTAAAATATTTTTCTTACTGTGAAGTTGAATAATCTGGGGACAAACAATACATTTTACAGTCTATTTCCCGAAATATTTCGAGTATCTCATCCCATGCATTACCACTACAGAGTTTAAATCAACAACACATCACTAAAGGAAGTGTATGATCAACCACATGATCCTTTTGTTTACACAACTGCCATCTGCAGTGTAACATGAGACAAGGTGAACT